TGCTGCTGGCTGGCTGCTAAAAAAGTGCTCCTGCTGGTAGTGCCGGTGGTGCTTCTAGTTGTGGTGCTAGTAGTGGTGCTGATGGGGGGGGTGCTGAGGATGACCACCAGACCTGAAAGTTCCATCTGTGCAAAAGGTATCAGCAACTCCCAGTCTCTGACAAACAAGAACCAGGGCAGGTGCAATGACATCCTGCTGGAGTCTGGCAGGAAATCCTCACCTTCTTGTTCTACTACTAAGACTGCAGCTTTTTTTGCTTCTGCTGGTAGATGCATGTCCTTGATGTCAGCATCCGTGCTTCCAGTGGCAGCATCATCCCAGGAGATGGTGATGAGAGTTTGCATCCCACCTGCAAGAATCCATGATGATGCTTGATGATCACACCAAACAAAATAGTAGATGAAAACAACAAAATGCATGAGGTCATAGATTGGCAAAGCCAACACAACTTCCAAGGGTGATATCTAAACAAACAGTATATAGATTGTCAATGTATTTGGTACTAGCTACCAACATGAGAACCTAGTAGTACTACTAACAGACGGACAACATGGAATGCTAAACATCAATTGCCAACACAGTCAACAGCTGCTGATATATCCTCCAAGGGTGCCATACTACAAACAAACAAAACATTGATTGCCAATGGATTTGGCAGCTGCACTCTGCTGGAATCCTGAAACATGAGTGCTGATGCTGCTGTGTCCTTGCAAAGAAATTGCTCTTCTGGGAGTTGCAAAACCAACCTTGCTTTTCCATCATCCTCACTGAGACTGATCTATTGAAGTGGGATTGAATATCAGCAGACAAGCTGCAAGGGCATCCTTTGGCATCCTTTATTTTTCCTCTTTTAGGCACCAAGACCAATGCTTACTGCTGCTTTTAGAAACTTACACACTATCAGAAAATCATTATTGGTTCATTCCCATTGTTATAATAGTACTAACATACATGGTAATTAAACATATTTATTTCATCTACTATAATAATGGGAATCAATTTCTCAATGGACAGACAACATGAAATGCTGGCTTGATGACAGTKTTTTTAGCAATTTGGAATCTTACTAACTATTCCAATGTAACAAAGACTAGTACAAAGAGGGCATTGAAATGCAGGTCACTTTAGTAACATGCAATATTCTTTGATCAAATGAAAGTACAAAATTTTCCATGCTACTACTACTAAGAAACTCCTATTAGTGAAAGGATCAAACACATTTCCAATACTTGTAGTATCAAAAAATTTTGTAGCATTCCTCGCACTATTAGATCAAAGCATTTCTTGCACTATTAGACCAGATTTTTCTCCTAGGAAGAAGGAAGGTCACAATGGGAGTAACGGAGACCAGCAGCATTATGATATAGTGCTACATTCAGTGGAATGGCCAACTGGAGCAAGCCCAAAGTTATCTGAAAAAAATATCTCCAGAAGAGAGATCATTGCAATGTGATACTAGTAACRAAGAAGCAAGAAGATTGTGGTTACTAGTAGTAGTAGYAGCAGCAGCAGCAGTCTGCTGTATAAAAGAAAACATTATGTTTTACTCCTACTAGCATAACAGTATACTAAGCACTACTACTAGCAGGTACCACTAATACTAATAGACCTCTCTCTCCTATCTTCTCCATCCAGCTGTATAAGATGCTACAAAGTCAATAGTATTTTGGTGGTAGTACTGGATGATGGACTTAAACAACATGCATACTACTACTATTTTTAACCTCATAACCTTGGCTGAAGATGAAGCACAGGGCAATTTGGGGCACAAGGCACTCCAGAAAAAGAAATGAAAAACTACTACCAAAAGGAGCAGCATTGTTATTCTGCCTGTAGTAGTACTAACCACAGACAGTGACTGTGGTAGCTGGTGGCAATGATTTTGTTCTAMTACTCTATTTWATTTTCCTCATAACCCCAATCAAGTTGTGCCTAATGAGTGAAAGGATTTGTAGTAAGAATGTTGTTGTTGCTGCTACTACTAGTACCACTAGTAATACAAATATGCTCAGAAGTACTTGTGTMCTAGTGCAGACAATTCAATGACACAAAAGATATTGTCAAAAATAAAGATATATACAAAATGATTTGTAGTACTTTGCTAGCTAGCACTACTAATAATACCTGCAGTGGCCACTATGAGGAGCTCCCATTTTCACTATTGCAACACAGCATAAGTATATACAAAAAGATTCATTGGCACATTTCAACAATGCTCATTGTATTATTGATTGTACAAGAATAGAATGGCGATCCTAATCCCAATGAAAAAATAGCCCATCTCACCATACAATTGAGGATGATAATGCTGGACTTATGTCTACTCTTGCCTATTTCTATTCCTAGCAGTTGCATTACAGCAAAGTAAAGTATGATTGAATGGTAGATTGAACAACAGATTGATTGGCAGATTGAATGGCAGAACATAAAAATCATTTTGTCAAATTGTAAAGAGGTATCAAGCATCTGGTCAAAATTTGGCATGCATCAAGTGTCTCCTTGGGTGTCTCTAAATCTGAATGTAGAAGTTGCCCCTCAAATTATGATCTTTTGAGTTTCTATCAGTACAAAAATGATGATGTTCTAGAATCTTAATTACACTTATTGTACACTGTTTAGCAATCAAGAAGGAGAATAGAAATGCATGGCACGAATAAAATAGCCAGTGACCATATTGATGACAATTCTCGAGTAAAAATACTTGGGCGCTCACCATATGCGCTGCTACTGTCCTCGTTCATGCCGATCCTAGTCCCTTCGATCAGCTGTTGCATTCCATCACTATCTCTAATAGCATTTCTCACCGAATCGTCAAAGATCGRTGTAGACGCTTCATTTTCCACCTTCCCGCCCACCTCMTTTTCCAGATCTAGCATATTCATGGGCTTCCAGTTTGCTTCATCGATCAGAGCTTTTGCATACTTATCGTGTTTGGTATAGGTAGGACCCACGTAACGGTAACCACCGCTAAGTTCATAATCTGATGCGTCTTCCGGTAGTACTATCGTACCGTAATGTATACCATTGCTGAATACTTCCGAAACAATTATATCAGAATGTTTTTCTCGAAACTTATCCCAGTAGTACGGAAGTTCGCTTTCCCCAAAGCTATGTCCCGTAGTCGACATAGCAGCCAAAAYCTTATACTCTTCCATTGTGGAGGGATTTTGAATTCCGTGGTCTCTATCTATACAATATAAGTACAACTGGTGGACAGAAAATCGGAATGTGTGATCTTCGTTGTCGTTGTCGTTGTCGTTAAGGACTGGATCCCATTGATCACCTAAATACAACTGTTTTCCATATCCAAAATATGATCCGGCTGGAATGCCCTTCTCAGGAACCTCGACTTTCAATACACCTCTATCACCAGTATAGTGATTCCCCTCCATAGGGCCATCTACTTCTGCATTATTGTCGTTGTCGACTCCTGCAACGTATAGTATCAATCCAGGTTTCAAAGATACTAAGGTGACCAATCCAAATGATTCTCGCTGCCATTCTTCATCTTGTTCGAAGTCATTGCTCTCGTCGCTGTCTGTTGCCGGCTGTACCATAAAAAAAGAAATGTCCCCTGGMATTAAGTCTCCACACACATATTTTTCATCTTCATCWKCATCGCTATTCCAGTCTTCATCGGATGTTGAATTTTGCGTGACGACGAAGTCATCGTCATCATCGTAGTGAAAGTTTGCATTCTTTCCCCCTTCTTGATCTGGTTCGCTGTCCCCGCTGTTACATACTTCGCGCTCGATTTGATTGAAGTCCAACAAAGCCCATGATTCTTCATAAAAGTCAACGAACGGATTACGATTTCCTTGATATTGTTCGCAGATTTTTTGGTTCCGTTCGATTTCGTGCTGACTTGGCGGATCTTCAAGATGCCATTGAACCAGCCGCGAAAAGTACCCCATGCTATAATTTTTTGTTGCTTCTTGACCATCGTCTTCCCCGGTGGCGGATGTTGGGGGACAGTCTGTCAATGTTAAACCCAGAAATGCAGTGMCATCCSGGCGAAAACTGCGCTCGGTATGCGCTGCGGTAAGAGTTCCATACCGTAAGTTCATGTAMAGCAATGCCCGAGCAACCTCCCCGCGACTTTCTTCCGGTGGTTGCAAAGCATGGTCCTTCGTGCAGACGCAAAGGTGTTCGCTTCCTTCGTCACTGTATTTGAGCATTTGGTGGAGTTTTTTCCTCTTGRAAGTATCTCCTTCCCACACGGGGCGTGTACTAGACGTCCTCCCACCAGACCGTTTCTGCGTTGTCGCTGGTTCCTGTTCTTCGAATTCACAATCATCACATGCGTCATAATACCAATTCTTTGTYTCGTGATCTGCACTCACAATTGGATGCCTTGGCCTCATGTTATGCAAGTCGTGGATTGCAGCGGTCAGCTCGTCATGGTAAGCTTCGTCGTAGTTCTTATCCCCTTCGTCATTGACTGGCGATTGCTTTAACTCGTCCATAGGCCACAAATATCCCGGTTCCCACCCAAAAATTAGCCCATTGTCAACGGGAATATCGCGCCGGGTAAAAATCATACGCACTGTTTCGATGTCACTATCGTCTATTACTKTGATATAATTTCCCTTGTCGAGTTCTGCCAAGGCCTTTCGCGAATCTGTGCTGGTATCGTATGTGCGAGAAACTGTTGACGTGCCTGAGCCGTTCCCCCCCGACAAGAACTCTATGGACGCTTCGGCAGGGATCACCTGTCGATGGGTCAGAAGCAAAAGCGAAGCGATTTCCTGTCGGTYCCATCCCCAAGGGCCATCTCTGTGACCCATGTAATAATCATCGATGTCGCAGCCGTCGAATAAAATTGTTGTTTYGTCTATATCTTCGCATGTCGACGTCGAAAAGAAAGAGAGAAATATTATTAGTGCATGGAATGTCCTCCTGCCGTGCAAAGGAACGCGGAAGCTACTGTTCCGAGGAGGCGCCATTGATATCGATTGCTGATTTCGTCCTCGTTGCATTCCTCTCTGAGTCTGTTTTTTTCTTTTTTTGTCAATGAGAGTTGTTGTTCAATGTTAGTCTCCAGATATGTTGCCATCGAAATAGTTCAGCGCGATGAGTATTACCGAATAGAAACKAGTATCCTAATTGTTGCGGTGTTTGTTTTCTTCTTCTCACGGGAACTCGTACCCAAACTGCTTTTGTACAACTGCAACTTCCCAAACGTCGAAGAATTCCTTAGTAAATAAAACCTGCTACTACGACTTTGTACTAGAAACACTTTAGTGTTGTGTTTGCTCGTTCTAAMAGATGAGGGCATCCCAAATTAATCGCCAAATGATAAAAAAGTGCTGAGTTGACCACCTCGCTCTGGAGGCCAACGAAAGTGCGGTAATTATTGATATGCATCTCTGCCAATCTGATAGGGCACAATTTAAAACTGAATTTGTTATGAATTTTTCGTTGTTCGTTGTTCGCCTTGGAAACATAACGGTCGGATCTATGTCACGAAAAGTACTGGTACGTACTTACCCATTAGGAG